CTTGCGTGTGTTGGTGAGCTTACTTATTTTATGCACTACAGTACGTTTGTAAATTTACTCTTGCTGATAGAGTGAGTGTTACCTGGAAATGTTAATGGTACTTTTGTAATAGTATTACAATGATGACAGCTCATATCTAAGAACTTTGATCTTCAAACCTGCGTGCATGGGGCTCCTTAGCATTTAAAAAAGCAATAAGAACTTTGGAAATACATTTTAGTGTTTTATGGCGCATTCAAGTTCTTTCAAGTTGGACCTGTTAAGACAGTATGAGACAAACTTTATAGACTGGTTATTCTTGAAGTCGTTTTTATATAATAACGTTTCTGAACACCAACCCAACAAAAGCAATGATAAGGTACATGATGAAGTATGCAATCTGACTTACGACTTGAAGGTATCATTCAGGTTATTAAAAGTGCTCCGAAAATTTCCCTATTAGCACGTTGAGGTTCTTAGAACAGATAAATTCCAGCCCTTGGGTTTTGTCTTTTTAGTATTAAACTCGGTCCCCCAAACGAAGCACATTGGTATCCACTAGTGGGGAGAGGACCAAGAAAAAGGCTGTAGACACACACACACACACACACACACACCCCCCGCTCCCCTTTTGTCAGGCATGACCTAAATTACACAGTTCTGTCAGGATAGCTTTAGCAGCTGGGGGAGTGGACAGGCATTTTCTTCTGAACTTGGTTGTGCTAAAGGAGGAATTTACTGTTCTGCCCTCGACTATTCTCTGTGACAGTTTCATCGCCCGTGTAACAGATGATGAGATTTCTTCCTAATTTGCTTCAGCGTAAATGAGCAAGTTGGTAAAACGCCTGTCTCATGCTTTTTCTTCTTAATACCGGAAATGGGCCAGGTTGGTGAGTTGCACTTACTTTGTGCAAGCACACTTGATCTCTGCAGCTGAGTCCTGGGACCGCTGCTGTCTTGTGCTGGCAAGCTGTTGGTGATAGGCAGGCGCATGGTAACCTTCTGTCCGCATCTTAAGAGTGTGGAGAGGAAAATAAATGTATATCCTGCTCAAAATCAGGGGGAGCAGCTGTGGGAACGCATTTTTTGTCACCTTGTGTTGTTCAAGGAGGTGGTAGGGGTGTGCAGAAGGAAAAGCCCCTTCTGCTAGCATGTACTGTTCTGCTGTCCTGGCAGTGGTGCAGGGGTACGGGAAGAGTCTTAAAGCTGAAGCCAGCATCTTCAGCAAATGCTTCCTAATAATGAGGCCATTAGCTGTGGCTGCTAGGCCATTTGGTAAAATACATGCTTGCACTCTGTTCTTTCATGTTTTTGGCTTTGCAGACGACCTTTCACTTAGATGTTTCTCGGGCATATTGTCATCTCTGTGGACTTGACTGTGTGGAGAGGGGGGGGATTTTTTTTTGCTGCTCATTTGTACCACATCTTAAGTTTTAATCTTATGTAAGGAATTTCTATTGAAGATACTTGTATTTGTGTACAGAAGATTGTGAATTCTTTTCTAAATGCACTTAATTACATCTAGTTTTAAAAATATCTGTATTCAAATTATATTTCCTGTTGATGTGAAAATAATAAAGCAACTGAGTTTATTCCCGGCTCCCCTACTGTGTGAGACCTTAGGAAAAGGCATCATATTGTGCTGGTGTGTCTAACCTTCTGCATGCCAGTATATTACTGTCTGAGTTTGATTGCTCAACGGAGGTTGCGTGATTCTGTGTGTGTGCATATTGATCAGATGAGGTGAGGCTGCAACCCTGTTGTGCTGCTGAAATGACACAATTCTCTCTGGGCCAAGAAGGTACAAAAATGCAGTGATTTTGTACAGCAGGTCCTTGCCCATCAGATCAGAGTTTGGTTTTATGTGGGGACCAGTGGGACTTTTTATGGGGTTCAAGTGGTTTTCTTGTCCTATGTTTCTACCAGCATTAAGGGTAGTGTTACATTTGGGAGTAGCTCAAATCTTGCTGAATTTGAGCAGGATGGCAGCGGAGGGTGTTATCTACTGAAGGGCAGTTTGTTAACTGTGTATTCACTGGACAACCATGCACGTCCCATCACATTTGCCAGAAAGGGGAAGCTGCTTCCTATCAATACGAGGAGCCCTTGCAAGACGAAGCACAGTCAGGAGCAGGTGCTGCCTAAGGAGCTTGTGGGACCTTCCTCAAGAGCTGCTCCTGTGTAATAGGCACCTGGCTAACCTTTCAGCTTCACAAAGGACTTTACTGTTTTCATGGATTGGTCTGTATTCATCGCTGTAATTTTTTTTTTTTCTTCTTTCCCCCTCACCACCCCCACCCCCAAAGGCAGAGTTGCTTAAGCAAGTAACAAGTGCAGATGTTGGCGGAAGCACCACTATGCCTTTAACATTTTTCCAGGGATTAGCTGGTCCTTTGCCATGTGTTGGGTGTATACAGTCTCCCGATTACAGTAAGATTCCCAAGAGCTGCTTTGTTTGCATGTGTCTTTTGCTCCAGCCTCTTACAGGCAGTGTGTGATATTTCTTCCTGTTGGAGTTTTGCAGGCTTGGAGAGGGTAGGATTTTAGATCTTGCTTTGTTTTTTTTCACTCCTTCCTATCAGCATTCCCCCCTTTTGTGTAGTCAGGAATAAACACTTCAGTAGAAACTGCCAACAAGGTTGTGTGAAGTCAACTCTTGATTTTGTAGGCTAATAGGAAATAAAATCAAGCAAGTAAAGCAAAACCGCAGTTAACAGCATGTAGGCAAACCAGCAGTTAGAACATAGAGGACTGTCCGAGGGGACAGGGGTCAGCGCTGTGGTCAGCTGGAGCACTGACCTGGATTGGCAAGTCCCGCAGGGAGGTGTATGTGAACAACACATGATGCTTCCGAGCTGGCTTACACAGCCAGTTCAGGTGTGTCTGCACTGATGCACAATTAATTCACAGTCGAGGGAGCTGAGAGATGGTGGTAGCTGGCATGCAGCATGCATCTACTGCATGTCAGAAAGCTTGCCACAACTTGCAAAACTCTGGAACAAAGGTTGGTTCCTACCAACTAAGGATAAATGGGATTCAGTATCTTTATGTGTGCTGATGCTGGGGTATCTGTTATTGCTGTCAGTTCTTCATTTTTGTAATTATTCTTAACGTTTCTGGAAGTAAAGTCTAACAAGCAGCACTAGCATTTGCCAAGTTTGAAACTGCTCTGTTCCACTTGGTGTGTGACAATCCCGTCTGCACATACTGGGCTACTGAAGGGTAGCTAATACAGCCCAGAAAGTTATGCTGGTGTTTGTCTGGACTTACAGCATCTGGCACGGTCTAGCACTTAGACGGTGGTCCTGGCACTCAGGCCTGCTGAGTTCTGCCCCTGCCTCCCACGACCTTGCTGTGTTGCTTCCTGCAGAAAGGTGCCCTCTGCTTCTACGCATTGTGCTAGTGCAGGCTGTTGGTTTTCCTTTCATAGAATCATTAAGGTTGGAAAAGACCTCTGAGATCAAGTCCAACCATTAACCTAACTGCCAGGTCCACCTCTAAACCATGTCCCTGAGCACCACATCCACACGTTTTTTTGAACACTTCCAGGGACTGTGATTGCATCACTTCCCTGGGCAGTTTGTTCCGATGCCTAACCATTCTCTTTGTGAAGAAATTTTTCCTAATATCTAATCTAAATCTCCCCTGGCACAACTTGAGGCCATTTCCTCTCATCCTGTTGCTTGCTACCTGGGAGAAGAGACCTTGTCACTGGGTCACCTTTCAAGCACTCCTAATGCAAAAGCTTCTCCCTGGTCCCATGTTTTCCCTCCCATATATCACCTACCATCATGCTTCTCGGCTTCTGTTGTCTGGTACTGCAATGTGCTTCACAGGGGTGAAGCTATGGGGAAAATTTGCTTTGCATCTGAACCAAGCAAACAGTAGAGGGCAACACAGCATGCATTTCATTGACTTTCCTGTCTCTTGCACTTCTCAGGAATAGCAGACTGCTCCAGATACCAAAAGTTTTACCTCATGCTAGGCCCTTTCCTGTGGTTTTAGGAGGAGATTTTGGTGACTTCAGTTACTTTTCAAACTAGTGTGCAATACCTCTTTTATAATTACCTAAATGAGGGATGTGTTATTTCTCTGCCTGTAGCTAAAATCTGCACTTTGAAAGTATAATAAAATAGTCTGGATGCTATTTCCAGCATGTTTCCTACCTGATCTTCATGCCATAGCTGATCATATATGGAGAAGTTCTGGCTTTTTTATTAAGTAATTAACAGATTGGAAAGGGTGAACGAATTTTATCTGATAATTTTGTAACAGTCACTTTATACAGAGCACTGCGTAATATATAGGGCATTCCTTGCTTGTAGGAAAGCGACTTCAGCTGTGGCCAGCCTTTGGAGGTCCTCTTGGTGGCAGGGGCTGCTTTGGGTTAGATCCCGTGGCTTGCTTTGTTCCTCCTGTGACCTGAGCCAACAGCAGATGGGAGCCAGATGCGCACCTTGCCTAAAGGTGAGCTGGGCCATGCTGGTACAACTCAGTTGTGCTACACACAGGCTCTTCAGTGGATGCGCAGACGTGTGGGCTCATGCACAGACCAGACGTAGATAAGGGGAATGGTATACAGCAGTCAGAAAACAGGCATCATTTTTAGTCAGAGAAGGGATCAAACTTACTTAGCATGGGTGTCATCTGCTCTGGATGTTTTATGGAGGAAAAACAGGATTTGGAAGGAAGATCTCATGGCAGTCATGACTTCAGCAAAGCTGTTCCTTTTGAGATACAGGGATGGAACCCAGCCTTTCTGCATGGGAAGAGGTAGGAAGAAATCCCAGAGTTTCATGGAGCCTTGCTTTGAATTAGCAGATCTGTGAGAAAGAAAACAGCTGAGTTAAATTAATGTCTTTCCCACAGCAGACACCAGGCAGCTATCTCATGCAGTCCCTCAAAGCTTCCTTTTTTCCCAGAACACCAAGCTTTAGGTCTAAACTCAAGTCCCAGTACTGGATGGTGCTGGATGGGGGCTTTCCTTTCAAACACCGAGTACAGTCAGGCAGAGCTGGGCTTTCCTGGCTTCTTCCATCCTTGACATCTGGCCCAAGCTACCAGTAGTGCAAAAAGTGGATTCTGTGACTGTGCCTCATGTCATGCTTCTTAGATGGGGTAAAAGATATACAAGGTATATAAGACAAGGCCTATATGGCTAGAGACTCAAGAGATCAAAATTCAGTTCTTAGTCATAAGCTTCTTGCTAGACTCCAGGTAAGTCACTTCATCTTTTGCAGCCACACTTCCACTTCTGCAAAATGGGGATAAAAATAGCGGTTTCACCGGCCTTTGCCTGTATTTCCTATTTAGATGACAATCTCTTTCAAGGAGGCTATTTTAATGTGCTTGTACTGCATAGGCCTGGGCCTAAGATTGTTCACTACAATAAAATCACTCATCTCAATCCATCCCACAAATCCCCTTTATGTCAGGTTACATCTTTCTTTTGAATCCAAGGACCTGTTGGGTACTTGCTATGTTCAGTTAAGAAACAAAGTGTTTCTTATATTCAGTGTATCACTACAAGCACCACATTCATTATGCAAATCTTGTGTCCCTTTTTTCCCCCAGAACTTGCGCTGTGGATCTTGCATTCTTGTGTAACAGGAGCAGAAACAATAGTAGCTGGGAGAGCGCCTTTGGCAGCAAAGCTTGATATAGCTCAAATGAGAATTGTAGAAGTTATGCGTGTCAGAGCATGGCTCGAGCTGCTCGGAGGCTGCCCTGTGTCCTTGTAGCTGTCAGCTCTGCTCGCATTACCATACCTGCTTAGCTGCAATGCCGAGCAGGTAGCAGATGACAAGCACTGAAGTCAACTTGTTGGTCAGGACCTACACGATGTGACTTGCTGTTGTGGTCCTAAGGAGGTCAGTTTGGAAAACA